AACGGTGCCATTGTCCAAAACAGCTTCCAGCTACTCCGCGCGTGCTTCCAGATTCATCACGAGTTTAGCTTCTGTGTGCAGGGCCTGGTCGAGGGTCTTGCGCAGCCTTGCTTGCTCACACGCTCACACGCGCACACACGCACAGGCCCTGACAAGGTCACAGGATTGCTGCCGGGTCGCGGTCGTGGTGCCTTCTCTGCGGTTTATGCCCAGCAATGGAGAAAGCAAAGCATTGGGTCAGCAAGAACCGGGGGTCCCAAGAGGCTTTGCGGACCTTTCGCCACAAATCGCTGCAGCAGTTGCGTCGGCCCGCAACATGTTGCGCTTTCCTTGGGGGCATCGGATTATTATGCTGATAATTGGTGTTTATGAGGAACATTTCTGCGAGGTTCCAGCTATGCGTGCTACTCAGGAAAACAGGCTTTTGCGGGCGCTACATTTTTCCATGCCTGATCCGGCTTTTCCTTCACACATGGTTGGGGGCATTCAGGCGGTCTATGGGAATGCCATAATTACCGGCTTACTACTTGGCAGTGCTTTTCCACCGCGTTTTCCGAGCGTACGCGTTGTTAGCTATGGAGTCCAGGAGTGGTTGGCCTCTCAGACGAGACCCGCGGTTGTCAGGCTAGGCTTTTGCGGAACAGGGGACAATCGCCGGATATTCTTCAGAAACTGACAGCTGCTAGGTTGAAGGGGCGACCGCGGAACAGCAGGCAATCGTCTGGGCCTCCACGCTTTTTGTGGCTGCAGTGGCCTTGACGGATAATGGCTTCTCACATACATGGGTGGCTATACTGCGTAAGGGGGTACCGGTGGATCCATGGCACCCTGATGCTGGTTTGTTGTTCAATCTGGAGGCGGTGCTACAGCCGTCTCACGCTACCAATAAGAAAGAGCACATCGTGATTTGGGTCAGATTAGAGAGGACTTGGGTTTGCATGACGCGCTTGGCAACCGACAGGCTGATGAAGTGGTGGCGGCGGCGGCCAGCACAGCCATGTTTCCAAACAACAATTTTCACTTGCGCGACGGGATAATGACTTGATGCTTGATGGAATTACATGCTGCTCGCGATCGAGCAGCTGCTACAACCACTGGAACACAAGGTAACGCAAGGCACTTGTGCTCAGGCACTTTCATTGCTGGGCCAATTTCGGGCGTGGAGCCTTGTGAACGCCTAGGGTTTTCCATCGGGCTCGAAGGATGACGCGCTTCAACACAATGCTTGGGGGCCACAACCGATGATTGCAGCTCAGCAATTTCTTCAGGGCTGCGTGTGGCCGGATGGGCGCCGCGCGGCGTAGCATGGGCGGAAGTGGCCTCTGGGCACGCACATGGGATTTGTTTTGCACAGCGACGAACCAACAGTTCTGGGAGAAGAAGCGTTGCAACAATTTTTGACTGCGTTGCAGGCAGCGGATTTGAAGATTTTCCTGGGGGAGCAGGCGCGGGTTTCTCAACAGCTGGTTCATTGGTATGTTGCTGTGGTCCCTGCAAGCATGATGCCGAAGTTTCGTGGGAGCAGAGCTCAGGCCTATGGATTTTCTTCAACAGAAGGACGCAGCTGACTTGTTGGCAGATTACATACCGAAATGTGGGCAGAAGCCGGGAGGATTGCCTGGCTTTCCCGTTAGTGATCAGTTTGCGCAGTGGTCTGAGGGCGTCGCAGTGGGCACAGAGGCGTGGAGTGTTCGGTTGCAAAGGTTGGATCGTGGAATGATAGCGATGCGCAGAGCTTGAAAAGGGCGGGGGGAACAGACCTGCTCCCCTCTCACCACGGCCGGGGGTGGGCAGTGAAGGAAGACTGCAGGTTGGTTGACTGATTTTTTTCATGACGGGGTTGAAACCGCCAACCAGATAAAGAAATTGTGGTTTTCCGGCATCACCTGCCGAGACTGATGGTTCTTCGTGGTGAACTAATGGTCTACTGTTGAGTAATTAAGGGGTTCATAACTCGCCGAAACATTTGTTTATTGAATCTTATTGATAATTAAGTGTTAGTTCACGATGGCAAACTGATGTGTAATGACGATGTATTGATGGTCAATTGTTGGACGTTCTTGATGCTTAATCATGCTACGGATCATGATTGGTTCGTGGTGAATGGCTATCCAGGCGATGGCTGCGCATCGGTTTATGACCTATGGGCCGGGCTTACAACATCCGCGAACGATGAAGCGAGGGGATGACAGCAGGTGAATGAGAAGCGGGCTTGAGTCGCCTATGATGGGAAGACCTATCGCGCCGGTAGCCCTTAAAAGTCATTCAGTGAGTGAGACTTGTTGCCGGGTGAGGATCCATGTCCAAAGAATCTAAAACAAGCGGGATGGTGTCCATTTTTCAGGGCTCTTGGTCATGCACCAGGAATTAGTAGGTTGGGGCGTCCAGGATTGCGCTTGTCAGCATGGTTGGAATGACGGAATATCAGCCATGATAACTTTCAAGCACGCACTGCAAGCAGCTGATGACAGGTGTCAGTCGCAGACATGATTCAAGGATATGATGTCAAATCATGTAGCTGGATTGTGTCGGATTGTGAACGTTATCAAGCGATAAAGCTTTATGAAGAACCTACAGTAACTATTTCAGGTGGTTTCGACTGCTCGATCCCATTCAGGCGGTTCCCATCTGAACGCATCTTTGTACTTTGAAACTTGCCTGCTCTAATTCAGCCAATCAATACTAATCGGACAAGGGTTTTTCCATTCTGTGTTTTGCCACGCCATTTTGTTTGTTGTATGTTCCTGTACCAACCACCATCAATACTCTTCAATCCCTGGTAGCTATTGTCAAGCAGTTTGGAACACCATTATTGTTCCCTTCTCGTTTTGTGATTCATTCTTCAGTTTTGGCGTTCAGGCGCAGCTTGAACAACCCTACTGTTTGGTGGAGGTTCACAATGGTTGATGGTTGATCCATTGCAGGATGGTAAATAGTTAAATAGTTGCTAGTTTGATTAATGACGGCTGGCGGATTTGTGTACTTGTTCACATTTGTTTTGAACTTGGTCTTCAACGTGCTTTTTTGGCTGCAAGGCATTCACAACAGCAACACGCATGGCATACAGTAGTGCTTGGCTTCAAGTTCAAAACATTTCCATTGCGCTTCATTGTCTAGCTTTGCGTTGATTTGTTGGCACTGTATATTGCCCCTATTGTAATTTGCATTTCCATTTTCACTGACTGATTCACCCGGGCCGCCATGCATCGCCAGCAAACGCGGGACATTGGTTCACATCGTCGGAGCTCAGATGCGCCCCTAGCAGTTGTGCACCGTGCTTGCCAACCGTACCCAGTTAGAGATGACCATCCATTGCTTAAACCCATTCCAAGGCCGCCGCCACTGAGTTTGAGACAGAACTCTACTTCTGTGCGTTTCACCCCGCTCTTGCCCGAACCATGTCCGTGTTCTTTGCGTACGTTTCCCTCCCATGATGGTCCGCTTGTGCATCAATCAAAATCCAGACCCTCGATCAAGCAGCCAAATTTCAGGTCATCGTCTCGGCATCAGCCTCAGTGCAGTGTTGCACCGTTGCGCACCCAGCAAGCTGTGCACCAACATCTTCGAACATATGTATTCCGACTTTGGGCCCATCTGATGCAATTGATCCTTCCCATATCATCATTGTTATCAGAAGTGAACCAGTCAGTGAACGCCAAATCTCTCATTGAACATATGCTCCGGCCTTTTGCCGAAACAACCTTAATCAAATATATCAGATTGTGCTTGTCTTTCTTTCAAGCTGCCATTGATTTGGGTTACCAACTTGCATCGCTCACAGCAGTGTCGGTCGCCGATATCTTGTTGTCATTACAAACAGCCGACATGGACTGGAAAGGTTTGGAGGCCCCGGTCAAAAGTATGAGTCATTATGTTAAAGCACTTCGATGGCTGCAAAAGATCACCCAGATCACCTTTCCCAATTTGTATGTTCCCCCCATAAGCTCTTTTACTTTCAGTGATCACCAACATCGTGAAAGCATGCCTTTGTCACTTTTTCTCATTGCGCAGTGGGAACTCGATCTTGTTAAAGCCAAAGACCCCCTTGACCTAATGCTTTTCAAAGGTGCTATCCTTTGTTGCATTTGGGCCTCGCTTCGTTTCAGCGATGCCTCACATGTTCTTTTTTCATCTATTATTTTTGATCGTGCTGGCATGAGAGCACTTTCTTGGCGCACTAAAACATCGAAAACTGGGATGCCTTTCGGTGTTTATCCCTTTGGGGTTCACTATCATGCAGATTCGTCACTTTCATATGGTTGGCTCTATCATTGGCTTGCTGCTGTTGACCAGGTTTGGCATAATACTTGTATTTCGCTCCAAGCCAAAGTAGTTCCAGATTCCCTTTTTGTGCAATTGGATGCTCAGAATGTTATCGTGGGCCCGTTATCGTATCAACAAGCCTTGAAATCCCTACGGTTTTGCATTTCACAGACAATGGGGCAGCTTCCTTTTGATCATATTTGTAATTTTACATTGCATTCAGCCAAGTCAACAATGTTGTCGTGGGCCGCACAGCTGTTGAAACCAGCTGAGACTAGAGCATGTCAAGGCCACCATGTCTACCTTCAAAGTGTTCGCCTCTATTCCCGAGATGATGTATACCCTTCTCTCCACTTGCAATCAACTGTTGCTTCGGATATCATGGGCGGTTGGAGACCCCAGACACCTCAACACAGAGGTGGTCAGCTTCCCTTGCGTGAGCCCCCAGTCAGTGTTAATTGTCATCCGGGTTCGCCTTGCCATCATGTTTGGAAATTGATTGGTGCCCCTGAAGCGCATTCTCAATGTTTTCAGGATGTTGCTTGCCTATCGCATCCGAAGCTTGAAATTGAAGACACATCATCGTCCCCTGTTTCCTCTTCGTCCTCGTCTGTTGATTCTGAGGCATCGATCGCTTCCATCCCGCCCACCCTCTCGCCGGTGGCGCCAGTTGATGCCACAGATGCTTTGGCCGTGCCTCCGAAATCCACATCCCGTGTTTTGCTTTTCATTCACAAGACATCCATTTGTCATGTTGCTGTGCCCGACCCCACGTGTGCAGGTCCCCAACTGGCTGGCAAACATTACAAAGCTAGGTGTGGGGTTCTTTGCAACGCTTCCGCAAGTATCCAAGATCACATCTTGGAAGGACACCGCATGTGTCTAAAGAAAGCTTGTGCGTCCACCTTCGACCACTATTGTTGGATGGAGAGCGCAAAAATGTTTTTGCCGCGTGTTGTAGCTTTCTGATGGGCTTCACTGGGGATTTGTCCAGGGTTGCGTTTTAAGCTGATATTCTGGTATTCATTCCCCTGCATTGCTGCAGTGACTGGTTAAATTTACTTATTGTTCTTCTTGTTTATATATATTTTTTCAATCGCTTGACCGCATGTCATCAATAGTCTGACCGCCTGTCAGGGCTCATCCACCTGCCCTTATTCATCTTTCTATTTTTGTGGAGAAGCGTTAAACTTATATTTGAATATCTGCATGCGGTTTTTCATCGTGGGGTTTATTACGCTGGCACATTTGTGTACCTGGGTTTTCAAGCCATTTGTCACACCAAGGTACCAACATGCCCCAAACTCTGCCAATCCTGAGCCAACCCTATGTCACCCCCACCCCGCAGCATTGCAGCCTCATCAGCAGCACAGGGTGTGTATTTTTTGTTGGTGTTTCCATTTTTTTCTTTAAACTACATGCCGTCGCAAGGGTTGCGTCCCCCTTAGTCATGCTGTACCACACCATGTTTGCAGTCATTGGTTCATTTTCCCTTTGTTGTCCGTCAGCCGGGGGTTAGATGGGGGGCTTGTGGCTTTTTCTGCATCTGAAGCGGTAGACATTTCCGCCATTTTCCGCCTGGTTCCAATGCGCTTCATGTACATTCTAGGCATGTAACTTTGTGGCCCCGCGGGGTCTTAGGCGCGAACAATTGGTTGTGCCTACTTTTTAGGGATGTGTGCTCTGTACCTCTGATAATTCATAGGCACCAAATTGGGGTGTGGCTACTTTTCACATTGTTTGCTATGTGGCCCCGTTGGGTCTCACGCGCGCCTGCTTGGTTGTACAGATTTTGTAGGCCGTAGGCTATATGGCCCCGGTCAGTCTTAGGCACTCAAAATCTGTTGTGCCTAATTTTTTTTGGGGGGCATGCTATGGGCCCCCACGAGTCTCAAATACGCCCATTCATTTGGTTTTACCAACATTTCTGGTTGCTTTCATTCACACCTCTCACTCTGCGAAGCCTCTGCTGCACCTTGCCATGGCGGATGATGACATCAATCTGCCAGGGTTGGGCCTCTCTGCAGCCCCAACCCTATCACCCCTGGAGCAATTGATGCTGGCTCATGGATTCCCACGGGACATTCAGCAAATTATCATCGGAGAATACTTTGATGTCGCCTCGTTTGCCCTTGTCGCCCTCAGCCTGGAAGATTTAGATTCAGTGATTGTTGGCCTTGCGCGGGACCATGGCAGAGACTTTTCTCGAAGGGAGATAGCAGCAATGCGTGCATTCTGGCAAGCTTGCCGCAATCAACAAACCCCTCCGCCTGAGGGTGTGTCAGCATCCAGCGTTCCTTCGCTGCCAGTCCCCAGTAGTGTCTCTGCGGCACATTCTTGGAGTGAATCTTTTCCTGCCAAGCTCACTGTTGATCAGGTTCGCCAGATGCAGCTGGACTTCGAAAGATCCTATCCAAGCGAAGTTCTGGATGCACATTCCATGCCTGGTCCTAGGCTACTGGCCTTGGTCCACCACCAGTTGCAATCTAAACAATTGAAATGGGTGCATTGGAATATGAGGTTGAGCCAATACCAACATGAGCAACATAGCTCCACGCGTCCCAAGAAATTAGCCAAATTGGAAACCTTGTCTATGACAGATCTTATTCTGGATGATGTGCCGACCCGAGACTTACCTCCTCAGCTGGGGGCTGCGGGGCTATCACAAATCTTGTCCCTTCAGGCTACTGCCCTGGCTCTTTGCAAAGGTGCGCACCTACACGGCCTCAAGCTCTACGTCGCCAAGTTTCTGCGGTTGGCACTGCATCGGTATGAGCCTGAGACTGGCTTAAGGGGACCAGTCACATCTGAAATGATGTTTGCAGACCAAGAACTCTGGTCTCGTATTAGTGAATTAGTCAACCTACGTGAATGGAGCTTAGACGACGCGCTGCATGAGATGGTCAAAGTTCGATCCGATATGGATTCCCTTCTCCAACCGCGCTTCAGCTCGCCATGTATCTATGCCCACTGCCGTCAAAGGCAAAGGGAGGGGCGTCAAAGGCAGAGGGAAATCCCAAGCGTCTCTGGGCTCCGGTAAAGGCAAATCCACACGAGTGCAATGGCTCACCAAGTTGTGGAAAGACAATCGTGAATGCATCATTTGTTTGCGATACAATCAAGGCACCTGCCATGACCCGGCGTGCAAATATTTGCACGTGTGTTGCGTCGCTAAAGCCAATGGTCAGCCATGTGGTGGTTCTCACCCGGCTTCAATGCATTCTAGCATTATGTCCTGAAACAGCCCGACCTGTGGGGGGCCAGGTCAGGCAGGTCACAAACGACCCCTCAGTCCCTCAAGGGGCCCTGTGCCTAAGCCAGCCGGCGTGCCAATTCAGTTGCCTAACCTGTCGCGCACGAACATGGACTTTCATGGTTCTCCCCTGCCTCTTGCCTCAGTATCACCTGCTTTGCCGGTTGTTTCACCCCCCGCCATTGTCCAATCGCTGCCTGTTGGCCCTAGCATCCTCCCACAAGGGAAGTTTTGCTTGGATCTTTGTGTGGGTTCCCCTTGCCCCCTCGCCCAATCTCTGAGGGAAGCAAAGGTGGCGTTTTTGTCCATTGATGTTCTTTTGTCAGATCAACATGATTTGCTTGAGAATTCCGCTTTTGAATGCATTTTGCGCATTGCAGCTTCCGGTCAGGTAGCGTACACAGCAGCCGCGCCCAACTGCAGTGAATTCTTACCCTCCCCCTTGCACCAGCCAGGCCAATCATCGGTCCGCACCTTAGATCACCCCTTCGGCATTCCAAATCCCACCCCTCAAGAACAGCATCGCATTGATTCCTCACGTGAATTCTTGCATCGCTGTTTGCATTGTCTTCAAGCCACTGTTGCTGCCGGGGGACATGGGCACTTGGAACAGCCAAAAGAAGCTCTTAGTTGGCAGGATCCTCGCACAAATCAGTGGCTCATGCTTCATGGTCGCTTTCTGGTTGCAGTTCCAGCGTGCTCATGATCTGGACATGGGGCACTCATGGTTATTCAGTACCACTTTGGAATCTCTGACCTCTGTAGCGGCTCCGTGCATTCACACCCATGCTCACTCGGATATCGCGATTGCTCCCCATTCCATTGTCTATCCCCACTCATTGTGTGCTCGCCTTACCCATTGCATCGCCCCATTGTGCTCGCCAGGTGGCCAACTCTCCTTGAACCAGGTTCTGTTGACAATGCCCACCAAGGCGTTGCATGATCAGCCGCATGCGCAAGCCGATGGCGGGGGTATTTCCTCCCAGCCAGATTGGAGCACACCCCAAATCAGTACCAACCCTTGCCGCAGCGTTCGCGATGGTTGGACCAAACTCATATTGGAATCTGATCTCCATCATGCCATTGCCAAACGATTTTTGGAAACATCTTCAGAACCACCGCTTTCAGAAGATCAACTGTCCCCGTTTCGGACCATCTTGGAAGAGTTTTGCGCTGCTACTAATCAGCCTGCTTTTGATTGGTCTATTCCTCCAGGCCAACCATTTTGTTTGCACGCATTGCAACAAATTGCGGCTTTCCTTGATGATCCTGACAAAGCCTTGTTTCCATCTCTTTTGTCGGGGGTGCCCACGGGTTTTCATGATGACATACCCCCCAGCCATGTGTTTGCTTCCGTTGACCGTGCTGTGTCCGCCAAGGACCTTTCGGAACATGTTGTCAATTGGCGCAGTGCCGAGGATCATGAGGATGTTGTTTCGAGCCTGCTGCAAGAAGAGCTCACTCAAGGCTGGGTCCAACCATTTCAGGGAGACATTGCCCAGGCTCACCGGGTATGGCCGGGGGCCGTGGCGGTTGGGAAACTTTCGCTGGCGTTTTCGGACACCCGACCGCCACGTTTGGTTATGGACCCATCGGTTAGTGGGGCCAATGCTGCATGCTTCGTCCCCGAGAAGCAATCCATGCCCACTCCATGTGATGTCATTAGGTGTTTCCCGTTGAGAGGCCTCAAGGAACCACAGTCATCATTCAGCCTTGACATCAAAAGCGGTCATAAACGAGTTCGCATCAGATCTTCGGAGCAAGGTTTGCTGATGTTCCGGCACAAAGGCCAATTGTATCATTATACAGTTGCCCCGTTCGGGGCCAAGTTCAGTCAACATTGGTGGGGCCGCATGGGCGCTTTTCTTGTCCGATGGTTCCATGCATTTTTGTTCACGAAGCATTGCCTCCTACTGTTCGTTGATGATTTCCTGATCTCCATGCCCCAGTCCATGGCTGCCCTTCAAGCCACCTATTTAGTCTTATTGTGCCAGCTGTTCCACATCCCTGTGAGTTGGAAGAAATGTTGGTTGGGCCCACATCAAACCTGGATCGGCTGGTCATTCGACTTCAACGCAGGTCTTGTTTCTCTCCACCAAGATAAGTGTTCCAAATTGCTTCAAATGATCCACTATATGCTCTTGCACCCTACCATGAAGAAGAAAGCGTTGGAGAAGTTCATTGGTCTGGCTATGTGGTGTACATCCTTATTTCCTTCACTGAGGGTGCATTTGCATTGGTTGTATGATGACCTTGCCAAGCCGGCAGACACACAGTTCAGCTGTGACCCAGGGGCTTGGCATGACTTGCAGCGATGTCTGAGCCCGGAACTTGTGTTTGTGCAACCTCCTCCACACACTTCGATTCCGGTGGGGAGCAAGTTAGTTTCTGTGCGCCATCATGTTGTGCATAACATGCAAGATCTTTTGAATGTGCCAATCACCCCCAAACGTATTTGGATGCGCATTCGTGACCCCGCTAGTCCCACTAGGAAGCTTTCCCCCAATTCTCTGCGAGTCCTGGGATTGTTCGACCAATGGCTTTCATCTGGCCAATGGGTAGTGAGCATGCGCCCCAAGCCTCGCTGGGAGGGTGATGCCTCCGCGGATGCCTTTGCTGACCAACATGTTTGT